CATCCGTCTGTTGCATTTGGGTGAATTTGTGATTTTTCTTTGAGAATATTGCAATAAGATCCCTATATTATTTTAAAACATTCTAAAAACTCCTAAAATTTCATCCAACCCTAATTTAAACCTAATTTCACCAAGTAACAAATTTTGACAAATGACCCCAAATTTTACGCCCATTTTTACTGTCGTTGATTTTTATTTATGAAAAATATTTTTATCCCGATGTTCACTTTCTTTATAACTGGGGTTGAGTTTTCTCTTATTGATTTTTGCCGTCGTTAACCAATGTTGAATGCCGGTTAATTGTTGACTTTATTTCTTAATTTTTTTTATTTAAATTGTCGAGTAGTGGGGAAAATAATTTCAAAAAAAAAGAAGTCCAAAAAAAAAGGAAAAGGGGACGCCGCTCAACGGAAAAAAAAGTCCAAAAAAATTCACAAAATAAAACTTCGCGGCCGTTGTTCGCACCAAAGATCACTGTAATGGGAGCGGTTTTCTTCTTTTCAAATAATTCTGCACATGCCTAATTCATCATCTTCGTATTTTTTAAGAAGCAATTTTGGGATGCGTATGCGGTTCCATGATGAGAAATTTGAGAGGAAGAAATTAGGAATTTTAAGAATTCTTTAAATTGTACTTTGGTCCTAAAATTTTAGATACAAAATTTGTTAGTATTTTGAAATTTTAATATTACGATGCTAGACAGTAATATAGTAATATTATTGTATCATACAATAATAATCAATAATACGGTATTGATCAGAAAAAATATTATTATTTTTTGGGGTTTTTTTTTCATTTTGGTTAATTTGTTGACAAGTCAATGTAATTATATTACTGTCGCTGCCAGTAAAATAACTGTAAACACAAAAATATTACTGTCAACCACATCAGTATTATTATTTTTTTTGGGTTTTTTGTTTTATTTGAGTTATTGGCGGAGTAATGTAATAATATTACTGTCTATTATTGTAATATTACTGTAAACACAATAATATTATTGTGGTTGACGGTAATATTACTGTTGTTACAGTAATATTACTGTCAACAACAGTAATATTAATTCTTCTGGCTTTTTATTATGTTTACCTTTGTTGAACGGTCAACGTATTAATACTACTCTATTACACAATAATAATGACTATTGTTGTGTTAATATTATTGTGCTAGAGATTAATATAACAATATTATTGTGTTAAATTGTACTATAGTTAATTTTACTATGTTTAATAGTATTATTGTTAATATTAGTGTCAACCACAACAATATTGTTGTTCAAACACGGGGCAAAAAGATGTTAAAGAAAGAAAAAAAATCCAAGAAAAAAGAAAATAACATCGAAAAGGTCAGCGCCAGAAACAGGCGGAAAAATCAGGAAGAGAAAAAAAAGTCAACGCCGGAGACCAGCGGTCAACAGCGGCGACGGACGAAATTGTCCATAAAATTGTCTTTTGGGTCAAAATTGGATAATTTGTGAAATTTGGGGTCAAATTGATGTTAGATTAAATTAAAGGATGAAAGTGAAGCATATTAAAATGTGAGGGTTTATTTTAGTCTTTTATAAACATCTGGACCATGTGTGATTTTTTTTGTAAAATATTTTTTTTCTAAACCCCTTTATTAATAAATTCCAATTGGTGGGCTTATTTGTAAAGCACCCATATATATATATTTTGATATAAATAGAATAGCAAAACCATTACATGACAGGCTTAAGAAAACATATGAACCTTGGACTGACTTTCATATCTCCGTAGTACACAAAATCAAGAAACAAGTCTTAGAAATCCCGTGTCTTCATCTTGCAGATTCGATCTTACCAAAAATTGTTGAAACAGACGCATCAGACATAGGTTATGGGGGAATATTTAAACAAGCCATAGGAGAAAAAGAGTCTATAGTCCAATTCACTTCAACCCATTGAAATGATACCCAAAAAAATTACTCCACTATCCGAAAAGAAATTCTTAGTGTTTTATGCGTTCAAAAAAAATTCAGAGGGATTTACTAATTCAAAAGTTTTTACTTAGAACTGACTGCAAAAGTGCCAAAGAGGTTTTACAAAATAGGTCCAAAATCTTGCATCAAAACAAATTTTTGCCCCTTGGCAAGCTATTTTAAGTGTTTTTTATTTTGATATTGAGTTTATAAGAGGTGATACAAATTATATTCCCAACTTCTTAACCAGAAAATTCCTTCAAAGCAGGACCTATGCCGACTAAAAAGAAGCATAAAAAAGATAAAAATCCTTTCCAAAGCCTACTAAATTCCACAGACAAACCAAAAACTTGTTACGACGTTGTTGTAAAAGAAGAAGAAGAAGAAATGTGTGATACCGCATTATCTTCAAAACAAAAGGTAACAAAAGAAGAAATTCCTGGCCAATCCAATAATATTTATGCCGAAACACAAAGTATGATGCATACTATTTTATCCTCCCCTGAATTCAAGAGAATCCTAAAAATATCACACCATGATAGAAATGCCCCTACAGAAACATCAGCACAACAAATACTTCCTCAGCCCTCGCAAAAACATATCCCCAAAAAATCCTACCCAAACTCCCAGCTCGTACAATCACAAGAATCTTCTCAATACTCCACTGAGTTAGTTTTAAAAACATCATTCCATAATATCATATATGTCAAAAATGGATACCACAAAGAAGACTCGTTCCAAACTCTACAGAATTTTTTTGGCAAAGGTTGGTACTTTAAACCTTGGGATACTCTTAAAACTCCTACCTTCTACCAAGCCATCCTTGAAACAACAGGTTCCACAGGTTTCAAAAATTTCTTCCCCGAAGAACAACATAACGACCCGGCATATTCCACTTGCAAAATTTTCAAAATCATTTGCCAAACAACTGGGAATATGATCTTTCTCAACCCTTCCACGTCCCAGAAGTTTATAAGAACAGTCCCTTTTTTGAGAAAAAAATCAATTATTGGGATTACCAACAAGCCTGGTACAACGCATTTCTGATACATACAACAAACATAAACACACCTGACTTTTCTATTTCGATAAAATATATGTGACTCTACCACTTTCCCATCATGGTTCAACCAATGGTGGAACTTGTTTGGATCAACCCCAGAAATTCTAGCCCCCACAACCTTTAACTTCTACAATATGTTCAAAACAAAATTCAAGCCGTTTGATACTGATAGAAGATTCCACCCCTGGTGTCTATTATGTTCTAAATTCTTTCTTCCATAGGTCCTTGGTTGGACTCTCGAGTATACAAATGATACAATACTAGTGATCCAAAGGAAGTTCAGAGTAAAATGGTGGAGTAAGTTCAAGATTCCACCATTTTACTCTGAACTTCATTTGGAAAAATGGTAATTCTATCATTCGTGTACACGACAGTCCAACCAAGGACCCATGGAACCATGAATACCGAGGACTCGAAGAGAGGATGAACTAGGAAAAACCATGACTGAAACAACGGAATTAAAATGGAATTGAATGCAACAAAATATTAAAACGTGAATGTAAAAGACACAAATTAAATAATAGAATTTAAATAACCTAAATTAAATACAAGAATTTAAATAACAAATCGAGTAACCCTTAGTCTTGGGTTTCCACTTATCTGAGGCGATATAGCAGACCATTGATATATATATATATGAAACATTATTCTAGATAAAGAAGACAACCCACAACAAGACGCTGTTTTCGTCTGAGGAGAAGTGTTCTAGGTTGGAGTTTTTATCGGTGTCTGATGAGTCAACAAGAATTGCAGAGAGTTTATTTAAGATATCTTCGCTTAAACCTATCTCTGAGATCTTTTTATTTAATTTACAGTAATTAGCTGAAGGCCCCATTTTGTGACACTTGTAACATTCTATTTTAAAAAGTATTTTATTATACCTCTATTGTGGTTTTTTGAGATTTATTTTTTGTTTTTATTTATTTTTTATTTTTTTAATAATTATTTAACTGAGAGAGATGGTTGTAAATTTCAGAGTTTAGATTCGGTGTTAAGGTCAAATGTCTGACAACTAACAAGGAGGGCCAGATTGAAACAATTTTTCAAGTGCAGGGGGACAAATCGATACAATCGAGAGTAAAAAGAGATAATGTGATACTAAAACAATGTAAAGGAGAAAAGTGAAATTTACCCTAATTTAAATGATAAATAGTTATCTGTAGGTATCCAAATAGTGGTGGTAATAGGTCTAGTATTTCCATAAACATTTGTTATTGGCCCCAAATTATTTAATATCAACATAAATTAAATGGTAAATAATTACACGTGGCCACGTGAGTATCCGGATATTGATGGTTCTTATATTCAACAAGTTTTTTAAATAAATTTGGTATAATTATAATTTGAACTATATTAAATAATAATGGTTCTGGTATTATACTTTTTTCGAGAGTATCCGCGAGTCGACTGCTATCCTTATTTCTAATCCCTTTTTGGACCCACATATAACATCCACTACTGAAAGAAAGACTTAAAATAAAAGTACTCAATAAAAGTACTTAAAAGGCCGATGATCGGTTCATTCTCGGCATGCAGCAACGTTACCGGAATCTGTACGGACACACGCGCCATTGCCAGGCTTCTTCACCGCTTCGGAGGGTTCGCCTGTTTCGATTTCGCGGCAAGGTCAACCACCCTTTTATTTTATTTTATTTTTATTTATTTATTTCCACGTGTCATTAATGATTGAACATATCGCTGAGATTGTGTGTACTAATTAAGTAATATTTGACTTGTTATATATAATAAAAAAAATGCAGTGGGCCATACACGAAGATAGACATGAGATCAGGAGAAATGGACGGCTACGATGCGATATTCTTGAGCACGCATAAGTTTGTGGGTGGTCCAGGTACACCGGGGATATTGCTCATGAGCAAGTCCCTCTACCGGCTGGGTTCTTCGCCGCCGTCAACTTGTGGCGGTGGAACTGTTGACTTTGTCAACGGCAAACACCAGGCATGTTTTTCCTTATAATTTTTATATATTAAATCGGGATAATTACACTTTTGGTCCCTCATGTTTGGGCCGATTCCACTTTTGGTCCCCCTTGTTCCAAAGTGAACAAAGTTCACCTCCATGTTTCCATTTTATACACTTTTCGTCCACTCCGTCACATGGTAACAGAAAACACTATTTTCGGGGTAAAAATGAAATTTAATATTGTTTTGGGGCTATACAAAAATTATAAATTTAAAGTACTATTTGTAATTAATTTTTTATAATATTAAGTATAAAATAATTGAATAATATTTAATTTTCAGAAACGATGTTCCAGAACAATTACTGTTCCGGATTGGTCTTGGCGAATTCTAGCCGTTGATATGTGCTCGAGCAATCTTGACCGCAGATTTCCAGGAATCTGCCTCAGCCTCAACTTCACCATCTGGACCTGGGAAATTTTGAGAATTTTCACAGCGTCCTTCACCGTCAGACTCCCCTCCGATGGCGCCGCCGCCGCCGCCGGTGTCAGGCTGTCGAGCCTGAACCTGTCTTTGGCAATCTCCATCTCTCGGAGCTTCTCCAGAAGCTTTTCTCCGGTGGGGAGGAACCACATCCCGGGCGGTGGTACCGCCGATGAGTTGTGGTGGAGGTGTCGCCGGAATATTCCGTCGTCTCCGGGGTCGGGGGCGAGTTTTTTAATGTATTATATATATATATATATATATATATATATGTTGCCTGGATGGTCGGGCTCCGATAAGCTGACTCATTATTAATTAACTTCAATTAGTTGATATTCCTTTTTTTTTTTTTTTCTTCTCTCTTTTCTCTTTGTTCTTAAAGTTTTTTTTCCCCGTGGTGGGTCATCGGAGCTCCAGTTAGTTGAATTAGCATTAGTTAACTTCAACATTAGTTGATATTCTGATAAAGAAAGTCAAATTGGATTCAAATTGCAAAATAACCATTTAATTCGGAGAAGAGTTATTAATAGGGATTGGTGGAAATATCGAAAGAAATTATGGAAAAATAAGGGTTTTCTACGAACTCAAATTGTATTTGAGTACGAAAAGCTCATGAATTACGCCAAATTTGAGCAATTCAACGTCATTTAGACTCATAAAAGTTCGTTTTTGCTATTTTAGGCAAGTTTTAGAAAATTATTATCAAATCATCGAAGAATTGAATTAGGATTCCGTAAATTGGGTTGTTCCCAAAATTACGAGATCTACTAGAACCAGACTCTAACTTGTTTTGCCATATTTGGTATTTTTTTATTATTTTCCTAGTTTAATTAGGGTTTTCAGTTTTATTAATATAAATAGTTGTCTTAGGACTTTATTTTGAGAAGAATTTCGAATTAAAAAAATCACTCATGTAAGTAACCACTACTGGTTAAATTAATAAAAAACTTAAAAAAGTGAAGTGAATGGTTTAGTACCGAGTTCAAGGCGGTGGGAGGAACAACGACGGCCGTCACAAGGCCGTGGCGGAGCAGCGACGCAAGGCGGCGGCGGAGCAGCGACGGCGGCAGCGCAAGGAGGTGAGGGGAGCGACGGCGGTGGCGCCGCAAGGAGGTTGGGAGCAGCGGCGACAACGCAAGGAGGTGAGGGGAGCAACAGCGGCGGAGAGCTGTGGGTAGATAGAGAGTTAGAGAGAAAGAGATGAAGAAAGAGAAAGAAAGAAAGAGAAGAGAGAGAGAGAAAACAGTTCATCAAGCACTTCATTTTATTACACGAAAAAAATACCTAAACAATTGCGTAAATCATCAATTCTAATTTTTTCACATAGTTCAAACTTATTACAAGTGCCCAACATCAATCCATGAAACAATAAAAAAAATACAACAAATTACCTCATACAGATTAGAGACTCATGCGGCGGAATACATCGAAATATTGATTATGTTCATCGATTGAGGCCGGAATACAGATCCTATTCATCGGCAATACAAATCGTCATCGAAATACGGATCCCGTACAACGGCAATAAATTTGTATATATTTACTTTTTAAAAATCAAGTTCAATTAAATATTTACATTATAAATTAACTCATAACCAACAAATCATAACCAACAAATACAGAGAAAATACACAATTACGTGCATATGTTACTACATGTCCCTACATGTGATTATATATGACTATAGTTAAATCTTCATATATATTCAAAATATACAGAACCATACACGAGACACCTCTACCATTAGGTATGATATGGTATCATTTATACCACCCAAAATCTCGAAAAAGAGTAGCAGCTGGATTGTTGTAAGCCATACAGGTTTCCAAAAAAACAAATAGTAAACCAGTAGATAAATGAAATTAAAAAAGTAAACCAGAAGAGAAATAGAAAAAAAAATCAATTTCCACAATGTTTAAAATGTCACATCATAATAACAAAACAAAAGCATATATATATAAAGTATGTATACATTAAAAAACAATTGGTAAAAACACAAATCTGAAAAATCATTTGAAGATCTTCGATCTGTTGAAGAACAAAAAATAAACATAAAAAAATAAAAAAGTAAAACGTACTGTGGTCCTCAAAATTAGACAAGAACACCCCCGATCTTGGCCGATCTATCGTCTTCCCATCCTTGACTGGTCTCAAAATCTCACGGCGGCGGCGACGCTTCCCCTTCTCCGGCTTGGGCTAGCTTAACATCTCTCGGCGGCGGCAGCGGTGGCTTAACATCTCTCGGCAGCGGCAGCGGCGGCCTCCCGGTTTGAAGCGGATCAATCGAAAAAATATGGTGGACGGTTGTGGTGTGGATGGAAGAGAGAGAACTAGGGTTTGGATGTACAACGAGAAAAGAAAGAAAGGAGATAACGGCATATGGAGAGTGAGACGAGAAACGACGTGGCTTTACCTTATTTCACAAAAATTGCTAATTAAGGGTAAAAAAGTCACATCACTATGCCTCAGGGGGTCTCACAAATTAAGATCAAAATTTGGGTTTTTGACTAGGATAGAATAATTCATTGGACCTCCCCATATATATTTTCAAAACTAGGGGGTTATCACTCATTTACCCTAATATTATTAGTGTAACCGAGTCTTGATTATAATTTGTGTCAACATTTATTATTATTGATTAACATTCCATAATGATATTGATTTACCTTTTGCGCATGTTATATCCAACAATAAATACACCCATGCATCTTCACTTTCGCAACACATTCTCACAAGTGTATACTATATATCATCCATTGATCAAGTCCGGTGTATTTTCTTTTAAAAAAAAATTGTATTTGTTTGTTTAGTAACGAATTTTCATGTAATCTTGAAGCATATTCTTCTAACGATTTTATGGTGGTTAAGTACATTTATGCAAATACGAGCAACGATAACACATATATGTGTGTGTGTGTGTGTGTGTGTGTGTGTGTGTGTGTGTGTGTGTGTGTGTGTGTGTGTGTGTGTGTGTTTATGCAAAATTCTTATTGATTATTTAATTTCCTCAGTGATCTGTTAAAAGTAAGGAATAAGTGGTGCGAAGCAATCTGCCACCGTCTTCCGCCCTAACGTGTTTCACATCCATAAGTGCTCGAAAAAGAGTCCACAATAATGTCTCAAGGAGGATCATGCACTTGCATGGTTGAAATTCAGATCATATGTACATTGAAATACCAAGTAGTTGAATATCCAGTCTTCATTATTTATGTAAGTGTATATTAATGTTCCAGAATATTATTTGGTTTCTTCTAACATAATTTCTTTTCTTGCATCCAGCTGCTCTTGAAAGTAGATTATATGTTCTAATTTTTTCTTTTGTTTTTATTCTAAGTAGCAATAATATATTATATTTTTTGGCAATCGTGTTCTAAACCTATTTTAATATGTTGAAGTTGGTTTAATGTGTAAAATTTCTAGCATGGGTATTAATTTCTTTTCGTTTGAAAAAACATAAAGGAAAATTGCATGAGTTGCGTGAAACTATTTCGATTTATACTATATATGTCCTGTTCTTTCTATTATATATCTAATTTATATGACTAAAGTGTAGCAATAAATTATATATTAATATAGTTATATGTCAAAAAAGTAACCGACATTACTTATCAAAAAACAAAAAAAGTAACCGACATTTTACACAAACAGAGTACTCTATAATATTACATTATATGTTTAAAATATTATTTGTTATAATATCAAATGTTGTATATTGTGATTTATTTTAGTACTATATATTATATACCTAAAAGCAATGACATAATAAACAAATCAATTTTTATTTGAACTAAAAAACTTTCCGTACGGATTTCGAAAGATTACCATTAATCTTTCATTATTCATAAAATTCGTGAAATTAACTCTATCAGTAATTAAAAGATTTTTTCACCTAATGAAATCAGAATATTGATAATTTCATCACTTATTTTTGACAATTAATATTTATTTTCTTATTAATATATTATTTAGTTTTATATGTATCAAAAAGTAAGTATATATAAATCACTAATTTCAACCCATTCTTTCTCATTCATCACCTGCATAATTTCACTCACACACCTCTCTCTCTCTCTACTAAAGTGTAGCAATAAATTATATATTAATCTATATATAATATAAAAAGAGTATCTATGTCCTTAATGATTGACATGTAGCAAATGATGATGTCATTTATCAAAATTGTTTTATTGGAGTTAATTGATGAGGTGGATTCTTCAATTGGTGGGTTGTCAATTTTATTTTGGTATGTATTTAAGTTTATTTCCTATCTAACATTTATACATTCATTTAAACAATTACCACGTATATATAATATTTCATACATTTATAAATTCGATAAATATTATCTATTGTCCACCTATATTTTTTTTTTGAAATTCAAAAATTTCAATTTTTAATGTATGAATATTCAATTTTTTTATATCATGTATATATTTTCGATTCTCAATCTTTTTTAGAATCAATTCCTTGAAATATATTATAATTTTAGAATTAAATGTTTAAGAATTTGAATTAAAATTAATGTATCAATTTCAATATAATTATTAATTTTATATATT